ACAGGAAATAGAATCGGGACCACCAGCATGTTGGTCAGGAAGTTTGCAAACAGGGTCTGTCCCCGGAGCACGGTAAAATGACGTATTTTTATCTGCTTTCTGTGAACTATCATTCATGGAAAATAAGGGTTTCACGGAGGTGTCCAGACAATCTTGAATTCTTTGCTTGTCTCCGTGGTCTCTCATGGTTGTCTGACAACTGCATGGTCCCGGGTCTGCTGCTCGTGTGGGACTCTGAGGCAGCTTTTTGCCTTGCTTTGTAGTTAGGACTAGAGGTGAACTGCATCTGGGGAGCAGGATCTAAATCTCAACGTTATTCACGGAATCTCTGCTGTATGACAGAATTTGGTGTTAGGAGTCTGGTGGGGAGTGGGGGTGATGGAGAAGCAATCTTCACTGCTTTGAAGGCACCATGTGAAAGGGGTGTGCATGTATGTGGGGGGTCATGAAACAACAAAGGGGGCTGTGAGAGGCGAGACCCAGCCCTTGATTGCTGCATAGCGTGGAGATGCTTTCTTCAGGATGCCTTATGAGAGGGCTTCTACAAATTAGGTGTGTGTGTGTGTTTAAAATAAGATAACTTTAAATTATATGAATATTGTGTGGATATATGTATATACATATGGTCACAAGCATGTCACGGTGTATATGTGGAGATCACAGGACAACTGGAGGAAGTTGGATCTCTTCTTCTACCATGTGGGACCCAGAGGTCAAACTTGGGTCACTGGACTTGGCTGCAAGTCCCTTTCCCCCACTGAACCATCTCAAGACCGAGATACGAGACTTTTCATGGGGCTGGAGAGATGACTTCATGATTGAGAGCCCTTGCAAAGGACCCAGGGTCAGTTCCCAGCACTCTCATGGCAGCTTCACGGTTGTTTGTAGACCCCCGTTACAGAGAATCTAATGCCCTCTTCCCACCTCTCCAGGCACTGCATGCCTGTGACACATTTGCATACATGCAGATACTACACTCATATACATTAAGTAAAAATAAATAAATCTGGAAAGAAACTGTAACCTTGGAAGATAGGTGGCAGCTAGAAGGAACGTGTCATAGTCTTTTATTTCAATGCTTCTCTACTCAGAGAAAAATCCCCATCGTGGAATAGTTTCCACTACAGGAAAGTGAACACTTTTTCAAGTGAAATCTGATACGTTGGCAGTGTATTGCTCAGTCCTTCTGGGTTTTAGACTTCATATAGATAGGCTTCCACAGCATTGCACAGGAAAGAGGAGGGTAAATATTATCTCTCTCATTCTGACGCCCCCCACTTCCATGTTCTGTGACGTATTCACACTTGTAGAATATCTTAAATGAAATACCAGCCTAAATTGAGGCTACATCTTGATTTTGAAGAAGACTCTGCAAGGTCTGTAAGAACTGAATGAGGTTCAATGATTTTGCAGAACTATTATTTTTGTTGTTGTTATTGTTGTTATTATTATTATTTATCTGACCTGTTCTGTGTACCTGTGGTATCATTTAAGTGTGGCTAGGAAACACGGGAACCAGGAAGTACTTTCATCACCCTGACACAAACCACCTCGGCCCATCGCAGGCTCTCTGTGACTTCTCCGTTGCCGCACCAGTGTCCTGACACAAAGCAGCTGAAGGAAGAAAGGGTTGATCTGGCTCCTGTTTCCAGAGGGGATCCAGCCCTTTAATGCGGGAAAGGCGTGGCAGCCAGTGCAGAAAGCGTACTGATTACACTTCAAAGACACACAGGAAAGTAGCGGAGAACAGGAAATGGGACCACAGGTTCTTAAACTCAAAGGCTGGCCAAGTGCCGTACTTCCTAAGGGTTCTCTAGCCCGTACAAAGAGTGCCACCAGCCAGGGGCCAAGTGCTTGAATCCATGAGCCTATGGGGAACATTTCTCATCCAAACCACGGCACAGGCCCTTCCCTGGCTTTCCGAATGAGGGTCTGCCAATGACTTTGTTCCTTGTTTTGGTGGCTTGAAAAATCACTGATCTGGCACAGTGACCTGAAAACTTCTTGTGCGTTGTCTCGTTAATCATTTGGGATCAGCTAGTGAAAGGTGTCAGTGAGTCTGGTTTGTCGGTTGGTGTCAGTGATCTGCCCGGTATTCTCTTGGATGTTTCTGAAAGGAATCTTTTTCAATTCCTCCAGCTCGCGGGAACGCTGTACTCCAATCCATCATCTAGACCCAGCCCCATCTGAAAGGGACTTGCTAAGCTCACTTATACCACTCTGAAAGATGGCTCAGGTGAACTAATGTATGACGTCACTTCTGTGGAAGCATCCACCCTTGCTTTTACTTACGCATTATGTTCGCAGTAACTTGAGAGAACGAAAAGTCGAGACACAGAAAATGAGATGCTGTGGGGGTGCTGAGCCCTTCTTTACGTCTCAAGAGGGAGTTTCTCATTTGCAAATCGATTGCATTCTCTATATACTACATAGATTACCTCTTCAGTTGATGGAACTTTTCGCGTTTACGTTTTTCATTCATAACGCACCAAAATTGGTTACAGAAGTGTGCCAAGCTCCTTGCTCAGTTCAGATGTGGTCTGGGGCTTTATTTTATGGGGTGAACACATTATATGCTGGGAATGCTTATTAAGTATGGTGCATGGTTCCAGGTCCCGAATTAAGATGAGGAAAGAGCTGTGTTCTGCTCCGTGACAACTTGGCATCCTCAAGGGCTCCGCGCGGCTGAAGTGTAGCGGTGCCCCGTCGGCTCTGTAGAAATTGGCCGTTTGACATCTGTTTTGAACCCTGAGCGAGTGCTCGACTTACATTTTCTCGAGGTCTTACAGTGTAAGAGCGTAATAAAGTCTTGATGAGAATTTCATGCGCCTCCAATGCCAGGGTAGCACTTGCCTTATACGCCTCTGGCTTTTGCTAGCTGGAAAGAGACAGCTGTTGGATATTCATGGAGCGTACTGCCAGCCATTGCTGTAGGCTTAACTGAGTGACTTCAGAGCCAAATCTCAGAGCCAGACCGAACAAACCTGGTGACTTGCAGCTCGCTCCTGTTGGTCACTTTAGCCTGCTTTCTGTTACTTTAAGGAAAGCTATTTGGGATGAAAGGGGTTTTGTTTTGTTTTGTTGGTTTTGGAGGGTTGCAGGCTCTCACTCTATCATCGATCATCCTGTTGTCTGGGGCCCACGGAAACAGAACACCATGACAGGGAGTGCATGACCAAAGATGTTTACCTCAAGGCTAGGAAGTGGAAAAGAGAAAGAGGAGGAGCTTGGTCCCACTATGTCATGCTCGTCATGAGTGAGAGACCTCCCACTAGGCTCCATCTTTTTGTTAATTAAAAAAAAATTCTTTAAGATTAATTTGCTTTTTGTGTATGAGTGTTTTGCCTGGGTGTATGTCTATGTTCCGTGTGTGTGCCTGGCCCTTACAGAAGTCAGAACAGGGCATTAGATCTTCTGGAACTGGACTTACGGATGGTTGTCGACGTAATGTAGACGCTGGGTATCAACCTCAGTGCTCTTAACCGCTGAGCAATCTCTCCAGCCACACTCCCCATCTTTTAAAGGCTCCACCAGTCCCAACACGTGGGGACTAAGCCTTTAACATGTGGGCCTCTGTAGGACATGTTAAAAACCAAACCATAACACCCAACAGAAAACGAACAACCTTCAGCTCAAATGACATCCCTGCACTATTTAGCTCCATCCTTATTTCATGTCCACAGTTCTCTTAGCTCCTCCTTCAGTGTGCAGTGGCCACCCTCCAAGTGATGTCCCTTCTCTCTACACCACCTGATAAAAGACCAGCTCACTCTCAGTTGGGTGACATATAGACCCAGGAAGCTGCAGCCCCATGTCTTCCCAGGGTGTCCTTGATCTTGGGGGTCAAGGACAACTGTACCAAGTGGTGCAGTTCTTAAGGAGCAGGTCTTGGGACTGGAGAGATGGGTCCCCGGTTAAGAGCACTCACCCAGGTTTCATTTCCAGCACCCACATGGCAACTCACAACTGTCTTTAACTCCAAGATCTAAAATTATCACACAGGTATACATTCACCAATATAAAATGCAAATATCCACAAAATAAAAATAAATAAATTACTTAAAAGCAAAAATGCAGGTCTAGTGTATACACAGCCCACGTGTGAGTACAGCCACTGTGTCCTTTCCTCTGGAGATAACTGGGGGCTTCCTTGTAAATTCCCCAAATCGAATGTCAGTTTACCAATTCAGGATTAAAAAGAACTCAGCCCTGAGATGTTCGTGGCACTTTTCACGCCGCTGAATCATTCTGACTTGCACTGTGGTGGAACAACTCATTAACCAACATTGCTGCCCACGGGGTCCTTAGATCATAGACGGCCTCTTCCCAAAGTGCGGAGGGATCTTGGCATCTGTCCATCCTCCCAGGCAAGGGCTACTTTTGTCTTCCAATACTGGGCTGTGCTCCTGCCCCTCCAGTAGCAGAAGACTTCAGGCCTGGGAATATCCAGACTCAGCCTCTTGCCCTGGCTGCCTGGCAAACACATCGTCATCTCTGGGTAGAGATAGAGGGGATCTTCTTTCCTGTCGCTCTGGTTTCTCCTTGCCCTTTCTTGTGTCCTGCCCATTTTCTTTCTTTCCTGTGAATTCTCTGGAATTTTCCTTGCAGTTCCAGCTCTGTACAGGGTGCCTAGTAAAATACAGGGGTAAAGGGGGGAGGCTCTTCCGGTGTTCTGGTTTATTTGGGAGATATTTTCACTTCTGGTAGCTAGATTACCTGTGTTTGGTCTTGGGCAATGCCCATAGCCCCCAGAGGGTTTGCTTGCCACTCACTCCACGCAGCCTTGGATAGCAAACGGGCTGCTTTAGAGATAAGATTGCATCCGTGAATCTGGCAAACACTCGAAAGCCACAAACCCCTGTTTCCTCAAAGCTTCTGCCCATGTGAGCAGAAAATGTACACACTGGATTTGGAGGTTCTCTGGTGTCGTGTGCCGCAGCTGTCCCCTCAGGAAGGGTGCCTGCTGTCCTCACTCCTCCCTCTTCTCTCTTCTCTCACAGAGTGTCCCCTCTGCAGAAGTCTGAGATTGTGGATGTTGTGAAGAAGCGGGTGAAAGCCATCACCCTGGCCATCGGGGACGGTGCCAATGACGTGGGGATGATCCAGACAGCCCACGTAGGGGTCGGGATCAGCGGGAACGAGGGCATGCAGGCCACCAACAACTCAGATTACGCCATTGCACAGGTCAGCCACCCCCCTTTCCCGTCACAGTGGTGGCAGCTGGGCCAGGAGCTCAGCCCAAGGGCCCTGCCCACCTTAGGAGGTTACCGTCTAGATTAACAGCAGGTACCTGCTGATGTCTCTGCTGTTTGAGTCTTGAACAGTTTGAGATCCCTTCTCTGGACTGGGTTTTTTTGGGCCAGAGGTGGGACTGGCTCACGGAGCTGCCATTTCAAAGATGTGCCTTTCCTGGGAGACAGGACCCTAGGCCTCTTGAGCTCGACTCCTGTTCCTGCTGGTGTGTGCGTGTGTGTGTGTGTGTGCATGTGTGTGCGTGTGTGTGCATGTGCGTGTGTATGCATCCCCCACTGAAGAACAGCTGTTCTCAGAGTACCTTTCTCTGCTGGACTCTCACTCAAGGACCTCCCTTCTTCTTGAAGGGCTGGCATGCTCCTGCCGAGTTGTTCAGGCCAGGACAAAGCAGTCACTTGCAGATATCCCTCCCCCTTGGCAATCAGGCCTCTGAACCACCTAAGACCCCTGCTGTGAGGTTAACTGAGAGGGCAGGAGCCAGGTGACTCATGGTCAGTAGCAAGCAGCCTCCTGCAGTCAGGCTGAGTTCTGTCCATTCCTCTCTAAACTGAGTGTCGCCAGCATGTTTCTGATAGGCTCTGTGGTTGTGGACACTGATCTGGTTCCTAGTTTCCTCACGTGTGCCCTGAGAATCCAAGAAACATCTAACTTTCATGCTAGTCAGAAGAGTCAACCCCAGGACCCTCCTGTGGAAGATCTGGGCTATCTGGCCCGACGGATCATCCAGATGTGTAGTCCCAGGGAATACTGGCATGTTCTCCAGTTACCCAGTTGTGGGGTCATGTGCCTAAATGCCTGTATTTGCTGAAGTACCAGCCACGCACCCCCAATTCCTTGGACAGCCTTTTGAAGAACATGCCAACCCTAACTGCGTGGTTATGAGGAGCAGTGCCTTTGTCACCTTTTCAGCTATAATGCATAGAAAACCCCTCTTCCAAGCCCCGGGGCTCGTGGTCTGGTCCTCTGCTCCTTTGGGGGGCTCCCCATCCCTGAAGGAAGCTCCGTTTGTTTGCCTCTCAGGTTTCCTTCTGGTTTGAGGTTCGGCAAAGACAGCAAGAAATTACCCAGACCACATGGCTTTGAAAATGGCCTAAGTCAGTTTTCTTTCTTTGTGCACGTCAAACCCCTGAGCTGATTCCTGAAGTAGGCAGAAGGAATCTGATTTTACCGGTGAGAAATCTGCAGGTCCAATGCACCCAACAACTGGCCTCAGGGCTGAGCACAGGCCCAACATCAGAGAACAGCAGACCCCTGTGAACTCGGGGGCTGCCACACACACCTGCTCCTTTACTTTGCCGAATCAACTGTGCAGAGGCCCGTGGGACCCACGCTTCCTGTCTGCTGTCAGCAACTGTGGATGTTATATACCCCAGCATTATTAAATACTTGAGTTATAACATCATGGGGCTGGAAGGGAACTTAAGAGGTTTCCTAGGAGTTACAGGCAAATATTTGTCTGCTTTTCTCTTTAAGATGTCTAGGGAACAGGGATTCCGTACTGAAGCTGCACATGGGTAGGATGTGGAAGGTGAAGCAACTGCTTTTATTAAAAGAAAGCATCTGAGAGGGGTGGGACAGAGCCTTCTGCATCCGCTTGGGGGTTTTCTTTGCCCTCCAGGGTAGTAGCCACCACTCTGAAAACCCTAAGGCAGCCGCTGATATCCATATCTGAATCTCCCTGTTTATCGTCCTGCAGAGGCATGCTGTCATCTCAGGGCTGAGTCTGTGCCAAGCACTAGACTCTAAACTGCCTCTTCCTTAATTACTAGGCCAGAAACACCATCCGTGGGGTGAGTTCCTCTGCCCCACTGAAGTGATAACCGTGTCTGGTTGAAGTTAATTCCATGTTCTTTATTATTTTGATATGGGTAGTTGCGTTTTTTTTTTTTTTTTTTAATTTGTGTTTTGAAAAAAGCACCCATAAGGTAACGAAAAGATACCAGGACAGTCTTGTAGTGGCCAGAGCCCTGGTTCCAAGCCCTTGCTGTCTGCCTTATGCTGCACACACAGCAGCTGCTGGACAGGTGACTGGCCACTGCTGGCCACCTAAACTAGACAGAGGGACAGCACGGTATAGTGTGTGTCCACAGTCCTCGGTCCCCAGTCTGCCCGAGAACATTCCATCCGCCCCTGCTTTTGTCTGTCTTGACTGACTCTGGGGAGACAGCTGCTTTACACTACATGCCCCTGGAATATTGTGGCTTTGTCTCAGATGACAAGAGCCCTTAAATCACTCCTACTCAGAGCTAATCAGCTGCCCCTGATTGCACAGGTGGGTGCTCTGAGTGGAAGATAAAGGAGGACTATACCACGGATGTAGAAGTGGAGACTGTGTGTGTGTGTGTATGTGTGTGTGTGTACATGTGTGTATTACATTTGTATGTCTGTATGTCTCTATATCTATGTGCCCCTGGGTAAGCCTGTCCCGGTGCCCCTGTAGGGTATGGGAAGTGTAATTGCTTTTAGCTGACAAGCTGACAGAACTCTGTCCTCAAGTGCATACCCTTTCTTGAGTAAACTCTTCGCTGGGTGAGTGTTCCACCTCCTGTGGTCACCAGGAAATGTGTGACCAGACCTTATGGAGCTGTCCCGTTCCCATTTGCCTTTCTTACAGTTCACACAGTCACCTTCTTTGCCAAATTAAGTACCCGAAAGGCATTTAGCTCAAAGAATTCCAAAACAGTCTAGGGAGAAGCCAGCAGCTTGTTTGGGGACAACAATAATTAGTCAGTTGAAGAGATTTTTTTCTTTCCCTTCTCAGCTGCTCTGAAAGCTTTACCTGGGGGGGGGGGGGGGATAGGTTTTGTTTCTTTGTTTGTTTGTTTTGTTGGTTACTTATGGTTCTGGTCTCCTCCCCTTCCCTGTCTGTTTTCTGCTCATGAAGACAGCCTATGTCCTTTATTCCTCCATGGAAGGCTTCTCTGAACTTTGTCACTGTCCCTTTGCAGTTTTCCTACCTGGAGAAGCTGCTTTTAGTTCACGGAGCCTGGAGCTACAACCGGGTCACCAAGTGCATCCTCTACTGCTTCTACAAGAATGTGGTCCTCTACATCATCGAGGTAAGGACATCCCTTCCCTCAAGGAAATAGGCTCTGCAGAGGGCATCTTTAGACAGTAATCCATCTTTCTTTCCCTTCTTTTTTGACATTAAATCCATCTTAAGAAAGGGTTTGGTTAATGAAAATTTAAAGGTACTCTTGGGTCTTCCTAAGATCCGAGTCATGCAGCTTCCTTTAAGCTGTACCATGAGGCTTGTAATAAGGAACCAGGGCTAGTGCGACCTTTCTTCCTTGTTCAGTGTGCATTCTTCCCAAGCTCCCCCTCCCTGTCCCAATCCTGGGCTCCTTTTCTTTGTCCCTAGCTTGTGTCAGTGGTGGCAGAGAATACTTGCTAAGGCAGAATGAGACCAGTGTGGTCAGTGCCAGGAAATAGAGGTGCCCATCTTTCTAGGTGGCTCTGAGACATTTCTGGGCAACCTGTCCTGTGTTTTTCTTTCCTTGAATGAACGGGCACGAATGGGGCATGATTCCCTGCTGTATTTGTCATGGCATCTGCTGTTTCCTGAACATGTCCTCACTGCCCCTGAGATTTTTTGGGATGCTAAGACTCATGTGGCAAAGTTGGGCATGGGGGCCGGGGACGTCTAGTAGGAAGCTGATAAGGTCATTTAAAATCTGACGTTCAGTTTATGTTTTATTTTCCTTGTCTTGTTTAGTGCTGTGATAAAATGCTGACCGAAAGCAGCTTGGGGATAAAAGGATTGGTTTAGCTTAGTTGTGGTCCATCACCGAGGAAAGTCAGGGAAGGAACTGAAAGCAGAACCCTGGAGGCAGGAACTGATGCAGAAGACCTTAAAGAGGGCTGCTTGCTGCCTTGCTCCCCGTGGCTTGCTCTGTTTGTTTTCTTACACACCTCAAGACTGCTTGCCCATGGGTGACATCACCCACAGTGAGCTGGGCCCTCCCTTATCCGTCATCAGTCGAGAAAATGCCCCCACAGACTTGCCCATAGGCCAATCTGATGGAAGCCTTTTTCTCAACTGAGGTCCCCTTTCCAAGATGACTATAGTTTAGGTCAAGTTGGCAAAAGCTAACCAGCACAGGTCTACAATTTTCCAAGATACTAATTCATGTATAAGAAAAACACCCTCTTGCTACGTGGAGGGCAAGGTCCCAGAGTCAAGGAGGCTCTTAATGTTTGCTGCTTGGTACTGGTCTCTTGGGTCTTCCCTCCTGAGAAAAGCTCATTTTAAAAGTGTGTCTATGAGGCTATCTTGACTCATCAGATTGTCAAATGCATTTGGAAGAGAGGAGAACTGGGGATAGGGTTCTATGGTAGGGGTAGAAGTAAGTTAAGCTTGGCTGCTGTCAATAAGACCATAAAAGTGTTTTAGCCAGACAGGGTGGTCCATGTCTGTAATCCCAGCACTTGGTAGGTAGACAGGAGGATGGGGCTTGTTTTCATGGTCAGCCTCGGCTATTCAATGAGTTCCAGATCAGCTTGGGCTACAGGATGAGGAGGAAGAAGCGGTAGAGGAGGTAGAAGGGATGGAAGTCCATCTTAGAGCAATAGACATCAATGTTGCCTCTATTTTAATATCTCATTTTATTATGGTATAATTTTTCAACTCTTAGCAAAAATACTAGTGAAGGAAGAAACTGGGTTTTCCCGGTGCTGTCTCCTAAAGTCCCCAGCTCGAGCTTGCTAATGTAACAGTGGCCAATTACTACTTTATCAGCATGCTAACTCCTTCCTAATGAAGCCTTCAGGTCACACGGACAGGTTGATGTTACTTGTCGGGGAACCACACCAGGACGGTGGGGTTTCCGAAGCTGTGCAGTTGTTTATACTACATGGCTCCCCAGCCGAAGGCATCAGTGGGACAGAAGCAGTCTGTGCCTCCGTGATCAAGCCCACCTGGAAACAGCATTTTGCTGGCTTACATAAAGGCAGTTTCTTTGCTGCTCTGCGTACCCACAGTGCGGTTGCCTCGGCATAGAGGATGGCTGCTCTAATTGACCCTGTAGCTCCCACTGTGCTGGGAGCACCCTGATCCTTAAAAGAATCTTACAAGTGATTGGAAGAGACCTGGCTAACATCCTGCAGCCTGGCCTCTTCCCTACCCTGAGTCCTCTGTGTCAAAGGCCCTGCCTGCTTATAGTGAACAGCAAGTATATGCAGAGCAGGACCTGGGGACGTTTGTAGGTGTGATTACTATTTGGTTCAGGGTAGGGAGGCTCAAATCCATGTAGATGTTCATGTCGCGTGTTCTGCCATCACTATCTTCCCCCGTTCTCATTTTTACTGCCCCCCTTTGGAATTTGGAAATGTCTGTCCCTCTCCTGCAAGCCTCCAGCTTTTTCCTTTCTTTCTTTCTTTTTTGCACACATGATAGAAGTCACTCCTTAGTGTCACTTGGGGTCACAGATAATAGCATAGGCAGAATAAAGGGAGCTGGGATCCTACACATCATCCCAAGTTTCCCAGGACTCTGTCCCTGTAGCTGTTGGCTTTATACCGCTTCTTTATAATCTGGTTTTCCTCACCATCAGCAGATGGCTGATGAGCTAGGCTTCTTATCAAGACATTCTACATGGGGCTCCAAGCCCTCCGCTTCCCAGAGCAGCGCTCAGGGCCCTCCTAGTCACTTAACACCTACTATCTTGCTTCTGTCTCCTTTTTTTTTTTTTTCTCCAAGTGGGCTGCAGCTTAGTAGAGCACCCTTTTAGTCTGTCTGCTAAGAGCTGCTTGGAACGGGGCCCCGACGGCGCTGAGTGAGTGCCTCAAATGACTAGGCTAAGAATTGCTAAATGGTCTGCTGGGAAAGGCTCTTCCACACACTCCCCAGAAAGCTTTTAAGAATGTAAAACCCTCGCAATTCTGTGTCTCGTTTCTGGTTCGGATTTCTGGGAGGTTCTAATTTGGAAACCAAGAGAACAAAGCCCTTGACTAGTTCATGGTCAATGTGTCCACTCAGACACTGCCAATGCCCTGGCACCAGCATATTTTCCAAGCAGGGCCTTCGGAGTGGGAAGGTACTGCTCGCATGCTATTTTAGTGGGTCTTGAACTGCAGGATCCAAGATTGCTACAGAAAGACGTGCTCATTTGCAAAATAAAATAAAATAAAATAAAATACTGAAGATAAGGTTATAATTAATGATTTAAGTGGGAACAAACTAAGCATGCTAGTTACGTGTCTTAAGGGTTTCCTTGTGGCTCACAGAGGCACCTGCGCAGTAGTAATATGTGCTCATCTCAAACACCCTCCAATAAACGTAACTACCAGACATTTTAAAGTATAGTCTAAAGGCAATGTGGGTAGCATGCATATGCGCGCCCACTCTGTGGCCTACCTTATTTTATGAGGACTGTTGTCTAGATTTCCAGTGAAAATTGGGGCATGACGGGTCCTTCCTGTTTGGTGTACTAGTCCATGAAAGTGGGGTTCCTGTACAAGGAAAATGTGCATTATTCTGGATGCTGTATGGAATGCATACTGGAAGTCTCCACTACTTACATGCTCTCTGCTCTTGCCTGTTTCTCTACAGTCACACATAGATTTTTTTATATTTTATTGTTTTTAATTAAGCTATATGTTTTTCCCAACTCTCCTTTCTTTCTCCCCTCTCCCCTTCCATGCTCCACCCCGCCTCACACACTCCCAGTTTGCTCAGGAGATCTTGTCTTTTTCTCCTTCCTAGGCAGATCTGTGTATGTCTCTCCTAGGGTCTTCTTTGTTGTCTAGGTTCTCTGGCAGGCTGGTTTTTCTTTGCTTTATGTCTAAAAGCCACTTATGAGTGAGTATACATTATATGTGTCTTTCTGAGTCTGGGTTATCTCAGTATTTTTTTCTAGTTCCGTCCATTTGCCTGCATATTTAAAGATGTTATTTTTTTACCGCTGTGTAGTACTCCATTGTGTAAACGTACCACATTTTCTTTATCTATTCTTCAGTTGAGGAGCATCTAGGTTGTTTCCAGGTTCTGGCTATTATAAATAATACCTCTGTGAACATGATTGAGCAAATGTCCTTGTGGTATGACTGAGAATCCTTTGGGTATATGCCCAAAAGTGGTATTGCTGGGTCTTGAGGTAGATTGATTCCTAATTTTCTGGGAAACCACCATACTTATTTCCAAAGTGACTGTACCAGTTGCACTCTCACCAGCAATGGAAGAGTGTTTTTTCTCTCTATTCTGCATACTCTCCAGCATAAATTGCCATTCATGTTTTTTTATCTTGGCCATTCTGACATGTGTTAGGGTGTCTCAGAGTTGTTTTGATTTATATTTATCTGTTGACTAAGGATGTTGAGCATTTCCTTAGGTGTCTTTTAGCAATTTTATGTTCTTTCGTTGAGAGCTCTCTGTTTAGGTCTGTACCCCATTTTTTTATTGGATTATTTGTTCCTTTAATGACCAATGTCTTGAGTTCTTTGTATATTTTGGAGATCAGCTCTCTGTCAGATGCAAGGTTGGTGAAGATATTTTCCCATTCCATTCTGTAGGCTGCCATTTTGTCTTGTTGACCATGTCCTTTGCTCTACAGAAGCTTCTTAGTTTCAGGAGGTCCCATTTATTAATTGTTTCTCTCAGTGTCTGTGCTACTGGGGTTCTATTTAGGAAGTGGTCTCCTGTGCTCGTGTGTTCAAGGCTTCTTCCCACTTTCTCTTCACATAGACCCTGGAAATGCGCCCTTGAGAAACATTGCCCTCCTTTTCACTTAGACTCTGGGTATGCCACCCCACTATATGATCCCCTACAGTCTGTTCAGTCCCTTCTGTGTTGATTGAACATTTGTGTTGTCGTCTTCAGTTTCAGAAGCTTTGTAGAATAGCAGTGTCCCTGCTCCTGAGGTCACAGATATTCCAAAATGGTGTTGGTCTAGTTAGTCTGTTTCATCACACTGCCTTGAACACACACACCATGGCCTTGACGTGGGGACTTCTGTCTGCATAACAGATTCACTGCTGCCGACAGATCTACTAAGCACTCAATTGAATGCACCACATAAAATTTATTGAGGTGAAGTGGCTATTGCTCAAAAAATTTGAAATA